GCAGTAAAGGAGAAGAGAAGATTTTTTACCTTTTGCTGAGGAAAAGAAGTCGAGTTGATTAAAAATAATGTCAGAGGAGCATGTTTATTTATACTAGGAGATTTCCTAAAATCAATCTGGTTTTTGGAAAAATTTCAAAAATCACGACAGCAGGCCTCAAGGCCCACTAAAGCAACATGACCATCAACCTCCTCAATTTTCTAAGACAAAGAAAAAGAAGACAAGTCAGGGAAAACACGCAGACNTCGGCTCNATGNGGAATAGCGGAAACTTCCCGAGTTCGATGACAAGACGTTCACGCCTAGCGACTTCACAGCCCAACATATCGATCCCAGAATTCGACAACTTTTACCTCGGCACCATCATAACTCGATACTGCCAAGCTGGGGGGCTAACTGTGGGGGTCGGATTTCACCCCTATGAGATTGATATGGCGATGAGATCAACTCCACAACGTCTTGACGAAATCAAAGCAAGTCTACAAAGGCCCAGTCTGAGTCTAGGCCCAAAATGATATTAAATCCATAAGCAAAATGGGCTTAATTTAATAATGGGCCTAAATTAGATATATTGCTTAATTGGCCAGGTCTATTTTATTAGCTGGCCCATTTACTTAGAAGTACTATATATAGTCCCTCATTATCACCCAAAAAGGGGATCGGAATTCATTAGCAAAAAACTCTTGTAACAGCTTTTTTCACAGCTAATAAAAACTCTCTTGAGATCTTTGTGTTTGCTTGCTTTCCACAGAACTTTACAAACCCTAAAGAATCACTTAAATTCTAATTGTGAGATTCGACTGCCACAATAATTGGTCGAAGTTTCTGATTTGATAAAAACACCAAAAGCCACTTCCATGTATAAGAAAGATAGGAATACAATGCTATTAGCGTATTACCATAGACTTCCGTTGAAGCAACAACAAATTTTTTTTTTTCTCAATTCTTGAATTCACTTTTAATTTGACAGAAAAACGATTTAGAAAGAGATTGAAAATCATCAACAATGATAACTACGCCATTGACAATGTAACCAAACGCTTCCGATGATGACCACGATCCAAGGAAAACCGTTTTTGAAAGAAAACAATAATAGATTTTCACTCGCCAACTCCAAATTCGTAACGCCGATGAACGAAGAATACTGTAGTGAAGAACTCTCTATTGTTTGATTGATAATTTTTTTTTGTCACAATGTTAACTTCCATTAATTAGAATTCGATTACATTCTGCCCAGGAGCCACTAGGGCCAATTTAGCAAGATTAGGAGTACATAAAAAAAAAAAAGCTTAAACATGATAGAACCAAAGGAGGTCACCAAATCCATAAAATCTTCGAGGAAGACATCGATATGTATCTCTACCGAGTTAAGAAGATGAATAAAAGATTGCAATTCGGACCTCACCATGATGTTGTCACAACTTTTATCTATTGCACATATTAAGCAACATTCAAAGCTCTAATTTTCGCTACCAGAGCTAACGAAACATCAACATATAAAGCTGATGCAGCAAACACAGAGGCAAGCCTGGCCCGTAATGTTCTGCTACCTAATGCAAAAAATAAAAATAATGCTTCTTCTAAAGTTCGAACTCCATACCCCAAACACTATTCAAGACAGGATAACCATTAAACCAAAGCCACTTCTAACTTAATGCCCATTAATTTATTAATGAAATTTGCTGCCTAACGCATGGGCTTCACGAGCTTCAATCCAAGGTTGGCCTTGCATAAAGGAGCTTCCATCCGAAGAGAGAACCCAACCTAAACAACAAATTTAAGGATACAAAATTTTAGGCTGCATCGATATAGCACACGACGGACTCTTGAATCTGAGGTTCATCCAAAGGGGAGCCAGCTTGACGAGGCAAGTCATGTTGAGCTTCTTGACATTGCTTAGCTTCCGATATCGACTTGACCACCATTTCTTCTTATGAGAAGAGCTTATTGGTGAAGATCATGTGGTTTCTAGCAGTCAATAAATTCCATAATATCCAGGAATACAATGAAACTCGTCTATCTATAAAACCTACTAAAAAGGAAAAATCCATACCTTGATGGAAAAGAGACAATCTCTCAACATGTGAAAGTTGTAATCATGGTTCATCATATACAAAAACCAACAGAACAATAGATTGTACAGAACAATATAAGATATTTGAGTAACAACCTTATACTAAGATGAAAGGACCTCATACAGAGGTAAAGCGACTTCATACAAAGATAAAAAAACCTCATTCTGAGATAAAATAAGGCTAAACAAAAACTTAATATCGTCATAGTTAGGTAAATGAAGGCTCAAAGATAGCCAATAAATCTCATATCTAACCAAAAATTCGACTCATATCCAACCAAATACGAGACATTCCAGGGAGTCACAGAGACCATACATGTCCAAACCTTGCATATGAGCAAGGGAGAGAGATGAAGTTTTGAATGGAGAAAAACGTAGATATGGAAACTGCAAGCAACAATAGGGAGAATCCAAGCCGTAATTGGGTTCACTCCAACGAATACTAATAATAAACCAAACCGTAATTGGGTTCACTCCAACCGATGAAGATCCTTGTTGTAAGATTTGCAATTACAATGATAGAGTATTTCGACACTTGTCCTAGCTAATCACGTGACCAAAGATCTTAGAGAATCAACTCGACTCTTCATGGCAATATCACCAATTTTACCAAAGCACACACTTTTCATGACCTCCTCTGCACATGGTCTAATTTTTTCAGCCATTTGTCCTTGAAAGCTTGGTCTATAGGCTTCTCGTACTTTGTTTTAGTCGAAGTCTCTAGCAGAAGTGGAGTCTTTCCTACACTAACAGATTCTCTTATGTTAATATTTATTTCGTTGAGAACCAAATCTCTGCTTCTTATATTTGAATCATCTTAACTAGAAGAATCTTTCTCTTGAATTAGGTTGTAGAATTAGTTTAAGATTTCTCCGAGAATATAAAATTGGTGGATTATTATGTATTGTACGTAAGTGACTTCTATATACATGAATCTATCAAGTGGTTTTAGATTGAAATGTGATGCTTTTGTCTACATGTGAATCCTTAAGATACACAATTGGTTACAAAAATTTCATTTTGAGGGATTATCAAAGAAATGCATAGATTTTGGACATAAGGGACTTCTATATACATTAATCTGTCAAGTGTTGTTAGTTTAAAATGTGATGCTTTTGTCTAAACGTGAATCCTTAAGATACACAATTGGTTACCAACATTTAGTCTTTAAAGGATTATATTTTAGTAGGTATACTCCATTGTGACAACAAAATTACCAAATAAATGCATAGAATATGATATTAATATGAATTTCGGTCTACAACATAACTTATTTTGACTATATATTCGAATGCACGAGGTGTACATTCTGAATAGTAATTTAAAAAATCTTACAAAAAGAAGAGAACACTTCTTAACTCTAATGACCAAATGGAACAAGGAGCAACAAAACACATGTAAGAACATGATGATATACACATCTTTATGAATTATTAACTAAAGAAACCAAAACTTTTTCCTTTTTGGTCTTAACAAGGTAACTTGAAACCCATGTAACTACCAGAGACAAAATCATTCCAAACATCAAGAGCTCCATAGCTTGTCATCAACACAATGCTCAATGCCATGACGATACCAACCGAGAAGACAATGATCGAAGCCCTTCCATACTCGGTTATAACCTTTTGAACCACCATTAGTCCCACAAGTGAAGCCACAAAACATACTACCGCGAATAGACTAGCGGTCCCGGTATGTTCCATGCCCAATAACAAATATTGAATCGCAGACATTGTTGATGAAAACAGAACCATGAAAGAACATGTCGCTGCAGTTACCTACAATAAACCAAATACATAGTTTTTCACTTGAGATCTAGCAAAAAAACAGAGTCCATTTTGATCAAGCCAAGAACTTAATTACCTCGGGAGCAATACCGACTTGAAGGAGAAGAGGGCTAATGAGCATTCCGCCTCCAATACCGAAAACACCACCTAAAACTCCAGCTAATAGAGCCATTACAGGAAACATACACTTGTTTGATCTTCCTTCATCATTTGATCTCAAATCTTCTACATCCTGCGCCAACAAAGTTGTTTTCAGATATTAATCAATTTTCGAAAACTAATAAGGTGTTTGTTAGAGCTATGTGAATCAAATTCTCACCTTTACTGAGACTTGGTGATCTGAACACTGGTTGCTTTGAACATTGTCACTAAAGCATATCCAAAGAGTGAAGAAGAGAGTGAGTGGTATTTGAGTTGATGAGAGGAGCCAGTAAGTGATTCCACATGGCTCGATCGTTATGATTCCCTGCAAATGCAAAGTATTGAAAGTTAATAGAATGTTTAAATATTTTGGTACACATTGTCATTTGTTTAAATATATGTAGTTAATTTACAGAGTATGGAACCTTTTATTTTGTTTTTAATTCTGAAAAGAAAAAAAAACTGAATTTCGGAAAAATATGAAAAGAAAATGAAGTCGAATCCAAAGGAAAAAGGACAGAAAATCTTGAAGGTTCAAAAGCAATTACTTCAGTATCTTGATTTTCAAAAGAGAATCTACCCTACCCAAAATAATCATAAACTAAGACCTAAATATAATAGAAAAAAAATTGTAAAAATACATGAAGCCACAAATGTTTTTTTTTTTTTTAAAAAATATGAAGCCACAAATGTTCAAACACAAAGATTATTTAACTATGAAAACAACGAGATATTTTTACCAAGAATTTGCCTTTTTGTGTTTTCACGTCACATTTTTAGTGTCACTATGGAGAATATATAGTACTTAAGAAAAATCCAGAAAATATGTATAGCCCAAACCATCTTTGAAAGGTTAAGGCATCTTAGAAAGTGCAAAATCTTAAAGAAGATCGTAAGAAGAAAAAGACACGAAATTAGTGTTTGTCTTTGCTTCCATAGGATAGGACCAATCTCTAAACCACATTATTGATGACCTGTCTCCACGTGAACAAGTTCGCTATCGCTTTTACCAATATACAAAAGTTCCCTATCGTTTTCCAAACGCATCTTCACCACGTGATTCCCAT